CCAGACCTCGAGGGTTGCCATGAGTCAGGCCCTAGATGGGAGGATGAGCTTCTTGCGAGCTGTGTGCCTCTGGCCTTTTCTTTTCTTCATTGTAATGTCACCCTTGACCCAAATACCAAAATGTCCCTATCAAAGTCTTATTTGCCCTCAGCGCACACAGAAAGTCTGGCCCTGCGAGGGTTGTCCAGACAAGATGTGGTGGGAGAAGCCCCCGAAGTGAGCCTGGGTCTGCTGTAGGACCTTGGGAACTTGCCCTCTTTGCCTACTGTTCTTTGACTGTCAAGTGCAAACACAGCAGGAAGAACAAATGACCTAGTTTGCATAGGTGCCTGACTCAATGCCCCCCTCCCTGCAATCCAATATAATGACTATAGTCACTGCTGTGACCCTCCTGGTTTACCAAGGATCCTTCTCTGATTGGACCCTCACAAACACCCCTTAAGATACCCAATTTTCACATGTATCTTACAGGGTAGAAAACTCACTCTGACCAACATTTAGAGACTTCATCAAGGTCCCAGGCCCATCAGTAGAAAACCCACAATTGTGAGGGGTTCGATTCTATCTTGGGTCCTTCCTGCTTCGCATAGTTTCTTCACATCCTCTTAACACCCTGGGGAGTTTCTCCAGCCAAGAACCTTATTTTATGTTTGGGAAGACTGGGCCCGAGTGAGAACACAGTAATAAAAGAATCTTCTATTTACAGAAGCACCTCATGAGCTCCATCCCTTTATGCCTCACAGTGTTGTTTCCCTTATTTTGCATACAAAGATCTGAATTTCAGTAAAGTTATGCCATGAACAAAAGCCACACAGCTGGGCCAGTCTTCTGTCTCTGTGTCCAGTTGTTGTCTTATACCACTGACCCCATCTTGGGGAGACCCCAGTGGATCCCCAGGTTGTCCCTCCTCTACCACTTATTGCCTGTGTGACTTTTGACAGCTCCACCTCTGATTAAACCTTAAGGTGCATCTGATCACCTGGAATCTCATCAAAATGCAGATTCAGATGTAATAGGTCTCACCTGGGGCCTGAGATTTAGCATCCTAACTAACTCTCAGGTGCTGCAACTGGTCTGGGGCCCACACTCCTAGACTACACTTTGTCACTTTGTCGTACACATCGCAAAGGAGCTCGGAGCTAGCCCAGCCCCTGTCCAACCTCAGGACACATTTCGGGGGCGGGGGGCGTCCTGTCAGCCCGAGGACTGCCCACCATCTTGGTCCCCTGTGGGAGCCTGGACCCCTAATTTTGACTGGGGCTCTTTTTTCCATCAGGAACAAGATAACCTAATGGATGCGGAGGAGCGCCTGACCCAGATGATGAAGACCAAAATGGAGCTGGAGAGCCAGATTGGGGACATGCGGGAGCGGCTGGAAGAAGAGGAGGGCACAGCTGCCTCCCTGAGTGCCACCAAGCGAAAGCTGGAGGGGGAGCTTAGTGACCTGAAGCGTGACCTGGAGGGCCTTGAGACCACCCTGGCTAAGACAGAGAAGGAGAAGCAGGTGAGGTGGCCTTGGGCACAATCACACTCCTCTCAGGGTCAGGGAATCCCAGCTCGCTCACCTTGCTCGGTCACACCAGGAGCCTCGCCGCCAGCTACATGGGGATTTTTTTTTTAATCCTCACATGAGGATATGTTTATTGATTTTAGAGAAGGAGGAAAGGAGAGAGAGAGAAAAAATAAACATTTATGCGAGAGAGAAATATTGATCAGTTGCCTCCCACACACACCCCAACCAGAGATTGAACCTGCAACCTAGGAATGTACCCTAACTGGGAATAGAACACGCAATCTTTTGGTGTACAGTATGACACTCCAACCAACTGAGCCACCCAGCTGGACCAAATGGAGTTATGTTAACTTAATTAAATACAATTTAAAATGCGGTTCCTCAGTCAACCGAGCCCCATTTTGAGTGCTCAATAGCCACATGTAGCCAGTGCTACTGTGGACAAAGCAAACTGAGAACACACGTCCATTGTTACAGAAAGTTCTGTTAGAGCAGCTGCCTAAGGGGACTGAGAGCTCTTCCTGTCATGGTGCCATCCACACTAAGACCTGACTGGTTCTCCTCAAACCTGGGATTCCAGGCATCTGCATTAGCCTGCTGCCCACTTAGCCTCAGCATCCCTGGCCCCTCACAATGTCCTGCAGCATCATGTTCACTCTTCCTCCCTTCCCTGAAGAGGCAACCCTATCAGAAGAGCGGGGCCACTTATAGCTGCTCAAACAAGCAGTTGATGCCCTCCAAGTAGCTCCAGGGGGAGCCCACTTGGTGGCCCTTGGCCCCAACACCCGCTTTGTACCTTGTAGGTGTATGGGGTGCATGAGCAGGGAAAGGTAGACATAACCAAACCCATGCCTCTCCAGCTCTGATGTGTACCCAAACCATCAGGAACCTGATAAGATGCAGATTCTGGGCTGGCAGGTCTGGCAGGGACCCAGGATCCATGTTTCCAACACATTCTCGGTGAATGCCACAGCTAACATCCAAGGACCAGGCTTTGAGTAGCAAAGGCCTGAATTGGTGGTCCTCACTGCTTCCCTTACCCCCAAGATTCTGACTTGGGTGATTGGGGTGTGACCTGGGTATAGTATTTCTCAGGCTGCCAGGAGACTCTAGAGCAGTGGTTCTCAACCTTGGCTGCACATTAGAATCACCTGGGAATCTTTTTAAAATCCTGATTTCTGGGCCTCATCCTCCGGAAATTCTGTTTCTTTGTTATGGGGGTGGGGGTATAACATTAGTAACAAAGAAACAGAATTTCCGGAGGATGAGGCCCAGAAATCAGGATTTTAAAAAGATTCCCAAGTGATTCTAATGTGCAGCCAAGGTTGAAAACCACTGCTCTAGAGTACAGCCAAATCAACGACCCTCTCTCAGAACAAGTGCCTCCTCTCCTCCCACCAGAGGTGTTCCCAGACTTAAAGATCTGTCTCTCTCTCACCCGGGTTTCCAGGCCCTAGATCACAAGGTCCGCACCCTGACTGGGGACCTCTCACTCAGAGAAGACTCCATCGCCAAGCTCCAGAAGGAGAAGAGGGCCCTGGAGGAGCTGCACCAGGTGAGCACCGCCCACTTCTCCCCTTGGCAGAGCAGGCAGACCTCAGATTTGTCACCCTCAGCTAGGGGCCCTCAGGAAACTCACAGACTCTCCCTAGATCTCAATTCCCTCATCAGTGAAGTGAGCATGGTCACATCTTGATGCCTTTCTTCTAGGTTTGTTATAAATGGGACAACCATATAATTTATCACCCAAACTAGGACAGCTTTCAGAGTGAAACGGGGACAAGGGACAAAAGTCAGATGGCCCCAGGCACAGTGGGAGGTGTGATCCCCAGAGTCATAAGAATGAGGTGGGGCATAGGGAAGTGCCCTTGAGCTCTAAAGCACCCGTGAATTTTGATGCATTCCTGCAACAACAGACATGAGGTCTTGAGGTCACAGGCAGACCCACCCGACTATTACAGGCTCAGGCTACTAAATACAGAGCCAGCTCTGACCAGCCTCCAGCACAGGGCACCTCCTAGCTCTGGAAACACAGGTGCAAAGAGCGAGTTGAAGCTCAGAACCAGACAATGGACCTTCATCCCTGTGTTTGCTGAAACCTGAACCCACAGCATGTCCCCTGAGCTGCCTCTGGAAATACCTCCCCTTCAACTGTGACTCAACTATATCAAATACCCAGAGCCACTTCTTATTACAAATACAGCCAATTCTCATGATTCAAGGTAGTTATGTTCTATAAAATCATCACACACACTGAAATAGCAAAAAACTAAAACTCTGCTCCTAGGGGAAATTTAGGGTTCGGTTTCTGTAAGCCTTTGATCATAACATTTTGTCAACCAATCAATACATAATACATATGATTATGATCACTACATTATGTTGTTTTATGTGTGTATGTGTTTAAAGGCGCCTTTTTAGTACATATTGTTGATTCCTTAACATTGAACCCCTGGTCAACAGCACTGTATCTCATGCCCGAATGAAGCTTATCTACCACAATTTCCTCTGTAAGAAACACCAAAGCTTTCTTGCGCTTAGGAACACTAGACAGCACTGTGCGTGGGTACATTTTAAACAGTGAAGTCACCAACAACAAGCACAAAAAGGTAAAAACGTGACACTAAATAGACTGTGAAAAGGACACTTGTTTGCAGTAGGAGATAAAACAAGAAGGCAAGGCATCATCTCATTTGATCTCAGCTGAAAAACCCCTGGTGACTCAAATTTTTCACCATTCCACTAATATCTGGGGATGACCATGAAAGCACCATGAGTATTGATTTGGGGATTACAAACAATTTTAGAAAGTAGGTAAATTGGCAGGTAGATAATCCACAAATAATGAGGACTGACTATTTTGGAAGGCTCTCTTACTATCCTGAAATAAAAATATCAATAGAGCACCCTTCAACATAAAGGAGAAATAAATGGAAAATAATTTATAATAAATAATAGAGCTCTCCATGTGTAAAAGATAAAGCAGATTGATTAGTGGGCTATCTGCCTGAACCTGTCTACAACGGTTACAGATGGGCACGGGAGGGTGTGTTGGCGACCCAGATAGCAAAGTGTGGCGGCTGTCACTGCTGCAATTTAACAAAACGGGGAATAACTCCCGGGAGATTTTTATAACAATACATAAATCATCTCTCAATTTTCATGGTAGATCATTCTATAAAAATGTAGTGTATAGTAAATGAAAAAAGTATTTAAGTTATATGTAAAGTTGTGGTGGGTTCTAGGTTCAGAAAAGGATAAATGGTTGTTTTATTTACATGAGAGTCTGGGTGGGACATCAAGCATGTGGACTACAGACTTATTCTTTATGGTGCCAGATTGTCCAGAGCAAGACAAGAGGTCCAGCATCCCTGGAACTACACACTAAGTGACAGTGTGGCCCCCATCATTATGACAACCAGAAGCCCCCACAGATTTCCACATGCCTGTGGAGAACCAGAGCCCCCCTACTGACCCGAGGGCTTACCTGCTGCTGACGGGTGCTCAGGTCTGCCCCAGCCTCACCTAGCACCCAGGCGCAGGCACTCAGTAGCTGTTCACTGCAGTCAACTCAACTCAGCTCAGAAGTGATGGCAGAAAACCTGGTCTGACCAGCTGCTCCTGCGTACATTGTGGGAAACACGTGTGTATCTTTCCTTCCAGAAAACCCTCGATGATCTGCAAGCTGAGGAGGACAAGGTGAACCACCTGACAAAGAGCAACAGCAAGCTCAACACCCAGATCCATGAGGTAATGCCCACAGCTGACCAATTCTACACTCAAGGACAGGGTCCTCAGATACATTTTTGGAACTGGACTGACACATCACCCAGTTTTAAAGCACCCAGGAAGTGAGGGCTCTTCTAAGGAACCAGGTCCAGTCTGGTTTCCTATTGTGTTCTTGACCGAGACTCACCCCTCCTCTACTTTCTCCACAGCTGGAAGATAACTGGGAACAAGAAAAGAAAATCCGGGCAGAGGTGGAAAAGGCTCGTCGGAAAGCTGAGAGTGACTTGAAGATGACCATTGACAATCTCAATGAGATGGAGCGGTCCAAGCTAGATCTTGAGGAGGTGGTGAAAAAGTATGCCAATGCAGTCATTCATTTCTCTGTAATAATATTAGCAATATCTAGCACTTTCTAGATGGTCCCAGGCTCCAGGCACTGTGCTGAAGGATTCACAGTATCCATGCCTGTCACCAGCACCTCCTATGTGCCAGGCAGTGTGCCCACCAGGAAGGCTATAGGGAAAAAGGAGTAGGTGCTGTCCTGTCTACAGGGCATCAGACATGGCCTATTGGATGATGTAAAGGAGACTTGTATTAAGCAATGCATGCATCTGAGGACAGAAAGTTTATAGAAACTTATAAACTGGGCTCTCAAAGATCACAAGTTGAGGGGGTATTTTATCAATATCACTCTGGCAATAACATGGAGGAATGATGAAGTAGGAAAAAAACTAAAAGCAGGAAAACAATTGGAAGGCTATTGCAATAGTCCAGGCATAAGCTTGAACTAAGTAAGAGGCTAAGGTAATGGAGATAAGGAGTAAAATAAGGAAAAAGAAGTAGAATTTGGATATTACATCTTTGAAGTATATGTTTCGAAGGCAATTTCAAAGTACCTCAGACTGCTATGAGGGGCGTAGCAGCAAAATCTGCATCTCAGCACATTTCTCCTGTGGCACACCCAGAAGGTGCATGTGGCCTTGCCCATCCTCCTCATCTACTCCTTCTGTCATCTTAGTTTTCATATGTGGCTTCTTGACACATGGAACTCACACATCAGAAGGAGACAGCCTTTTGTTTAAGCTTTTGGAGGAAATTTTCTCTAAAAAGGCAAAGCATTAACATGGTTTTGTAGCCCCTAGAATTCAAAGTACACCAGAGCAGTGATTTCTGTCTGGCTTGTTCACTGATTTGTCCCTAGAACCCCAAATGATGTCTGGCACATAGTAGGTACTCAATAAACATATATCAAATTAATAAATGCATGAGTGACAGAATAAGTGAATGAAAAGCCAGTGGAATAACTTCTGGGATTCTGTAGGGTGAGTCCTTCTGGACTGTCACCCCCGAAAACCAGGGGGTTGGGGGCAAGTATTTTTCAGCAGGTTTAAAGCCTCCTCTGGCAGCCCAGTCCCTATTCTCTGGTCAGCTTACTAGTCTACCCTCAGAGCTTTTCCTCAGGAGATCAAACCTTCTTTTGCAGGAGGGATATGGAAATCAATTCTGTCAACTCGAAATATGAGGATGAGCAGTCTCTGAATTCCACACTGCAACGGAAACTAAAGGAACACCAGGTATGTCCAGGACCAAGAAGACTGAACCTGCCTTTTGAGATGCGCTTCCCTGCACCCTTTTCTCACAGCAGCTGATTGGCTACTAAGGTTTCCTGAGGAGCAAGATTGCCACAGAGTCCTTGGAGGTGACACATATTAGCCTCACTGAGGGTTAAATTCAAAGTCCTTACAATGGTTAAAATGCCCTCTACAATCTAGCCGCTGCTTCCTCACTGACCTCATCATCCACTATCCCCACCACCACCACCACCATGCTGGCCAGCCATGCTGGCTCCATGAGGGCACTCACATATCCCAGCCTCCCTCCTGCCTCAGGGCCATTGGTTCCCTCTGCTTTTGACAGTTAGCTCCCTTCCATTACCTCCTTTTTTATTTATTTACAAAAGGGCTGGTGCACGATCAGGGCCATCTAGGCCATCTCACCCAGTCCCAATCAGGGTGATCAGGGTGGTTGGCCAGAGGGAGGGACTGCAGGAGGTTGGCCGGCCAGCCCCACCCTGATCAGGGGTGGACTGGCAGGGGGGAGGTGGGGGGAGGGTGGCTGGCCACGGGAGGTTGGCTGTGGGAGTGCACTGACTACCAGGGGCAGCTCCTGCATTGAGCTGGTGGTCAGTGCACATCATAGCAACCAGTCATTCGGTCGTATGGTTGCTTAGGCTTTTATATATAAAGATTTATTTTGTTGTTGTTCATTAGATTCACATATAAGTGAGATCATATGGTATTTGTCTTTCTCCTACTGGCTTATTTCACTTAAGCATAATACTCTCCCCCATTATCTCCATTCTAAAAGGCTAACTGGATAAGTTTCCCACAGAGTTAAGATAATCCCCCTCAACCCTCTTCTTCTGCTTACTTTTCTGCTAGGCCCGAATTGAGGAACTGGAGGAAGAACTGGAAGCTGAGAGGGCAATGAGAGCCAAGGTAAATGACATACTGCTTTTACCTTTCTTGAGTCAAAGGGCCAAATGCCAGCTACAGTCCAACCATAAGCAGAAACAGAGAGGAGGACAGGTTTCCAGTTGAAAAGGCCTCATTGTTTCTTGAGCACCTACTGTGTGCCAGGCACTGCACTACACGTGGACATTAATTATCATGTAAGATGCAAAGATGCTGCTTGTGGTTTGAAACCAAGGAGAGAAGGCTAGCTCTGCCTGGGACAGGTGGTGGAGGCAACATTAGCTTAGGAATTCAAAGACTGAATTCAACAGGCTGAGGCAGGGAGGAATTTCAGGCCAAAGCAATGAAATAGCACCTACCTGCATAGGAACAAAGGTGTAAAAGGAAGAGCAAAGAGTGGAGGGAGGGTTGAGGGCAGGGATCCTACAGGAGATAAGACCATAAAGATGGTGGGAAATAAATCATAAGATGCCTAAACTCCAGATTAAGCCAAACTGGGCTGAGGGGAGGGAGGCAGGAGGGGCACTAAGGCCCACCCAGTGCAAGGAGGACAGGCAGCATCCTTCACTGAGCACGTTTGGTGGCAAGCAGAGTGCAGAGCTCCCCAGGCACAGGCCCCTGGGCTCACAAATACCATGCGGAAAGAGGGACTCATGGATGGCTTCAGTCAGTGTCATTCACTCTTACCCCAGGTGGAGAAACAACGCAGTGACCTGTCCCGGGACCTCGAAGACCTCAGCGACAGGCTGGAAGAGGCTGGGGGAGCCACATCTGCTCAGGTACCATCCTCGGGGAACCTGGGAACTCCAATCTTGCCTGCCTACAGGGAGAAAAAAGTGCTGGATGATAAACAGTGGGATAACGACCAGCTAGTTTTTGCTGAATTCCTGGGGCTAGCTTAAAGAGAAATTGATTAGTAATAAAAAGTAGGCAAGAGAGAGGCTGATTTGGTCCACTTCCTTCTGGGGCTCCTTAGTGGCACTAATGGAAGCAGGATTTGGATTGAATGCAGAGGGCGGGTATTCTAAAATACAGTGTATTAATAAAAAAAACTTTGAGGTACAGTAAGGCCAGAAGATGAGGAGGGGGTTGCCACTGAAGAGGTAACAGTGACCTTTGAACAACACAGATTTGAACTGCATGGGTATATTTATACATACTTTTTTTTTTCCAATTGACCCACATAGTTCAAACCTGCATTGTTCAAGGGTCAACTGTAGTTTGCTACAGTTCCCTAAAGGAGGGGACAAGCCAGGCAGAGTCACACAGGGAAGCACCAGGGTCATTCGGGGGCAGAGGGAAGGGGAATTGTGAGCAAGAGCCTTTGTTATGGTTTCTGAGGAAGGCATGGGAGCAGGCTTAGATTGGCTAGTTTGGATCATTTTGGAGGGCTCTGGAGCATTGGGGCCATCCCTAGTTGTTTAGTACTTGGCCATGGGTGATTATAGTAACTGGATAGTAGCTGAGAGTATAAGAGCCACATAAAGGAAGGAATTGGGGGGGGGGGGGGGCGGGGGAGGCTCTAGATTGGTTGGTGGTGATTGAAATTGAGTTTGCTATCTCTGGGAATTAGCTAAACCTGGGAGGGGCCATCCTTTTGGAGTCAGCAAAGCCCCAGATGTCAAAGCACCAGAATACAGAAAATATAGACCATGTTACTACAGTGCGGTGACCCTATGCTCCAAGAGCACCCCACTGAGAGGCGAATGGGGGCTGGAATCTGAGCCATGCCTCCTGGGGTGGAATGTGTCTTCCTCTAACTCACATGCAGGCATCGTGGAGACTACCAGAAGCCACATGATACTCCCATAATTTCATGAAGTCAGCTCTCTTGCAAATGTGGACCCTGGATTAGAGCAGAGAGCATGAATGGCATCCCTTATCACTGGAAGGCTGGATATCCTTTCCTTTGGCCCCCGGACTCCATGTCCTGTTACTTCATCATCCTGGCCACAGTCTGCTCCTTGTGGAGCTGAACTGAAGCAGGTGTCCAGCTGGGGTCAGATCCTGGCAGAAAACAAAATCATCCCAGATGGTTTGAATGAGGGGCATTAACAAAGGGACTATCTCTAGCATTGCAGGGAGTTAAGAGAACAACAGGGAGCCATTAGAGCAGTGGTTCTCAACCTTGGCTGCACATTAGAATCACCTGGGAATCTTTTTAAAATCCTGATTTCTGGGCCTCATCCTCCGGAAATTCTGTTTCTTTGTTACTAATGTTGTGGCCCCACCCCATAACAAAGAAACAGAATTTCCGGAGGATGAGGCCCAGAAATCAGGATTTTAAAAAGATTCCCAGGTGATTCTAATGTGCAGCCAAGGTTGAGAACCACTGCATTAGAGCAAGGGCTATAGGTAAGGGGCTGCCTGGTGGATTCCTTCTGAAGGCTCTGAGAAAGAATTCATTCCAGGCCTCTCTCCCAACTCCTGATGATTTTTCAGACAATCTTTGCTGTTCCTTGCTAATAGCTGCATGGTCCAGTCTCTGCCTCTCTCATGGCCTTTATCTTGTGTGTCTCTCTGGGTCCAAATTTCCCTCTTCTTATAAAGACAACCAGTAATTAGAGATTAGAGCCCATCCTAAATCCAGTATGACATTTTAACTTATGTGCATCTGCAAAGACCCTATTCCCAAATAAGGTCAAATAAAGTATCAGGGTTAAGATTTAAACATATCTTTAAGGGAAACATAATTCAACACACAACACTATCTAAACAAATCCTATAGGCAACCACCCAGAGGCTTAGGATTGATATTTCAATCAGGGCATCTCATTAGTGGGGTACAGGAATATCAAAGGACCATTGAGCAAGTGAGCAGTGTCCACCCCAAGGAGACCAGCGCCAGCCAGTCCTGCTAAGCCTTGCTTCTCCTCTACCCCCAGATTGAGCAGAATCGCAAGCGGGAAGCTGAGCTGCTGAAACTGCGGCGGGAGCTGGAGGAGGCAGCCTTGCAGAGTGAGGCAACAGCCTCCACCCTGCGCAAGAAACACACAGATTCCATGGCTGAGTTGACGGAGCACGTGGAGAACCTACAGAGGGTCAAGTCCAAGCTGGAGAAGGACAAGCAGGTCATGAAGGCCGAGATCGATGACCTCAATGCCAGCATGGAGACTGTGCAGAAGTCCAAGGTGAGGGAAGCCCCCTCCCAGAACCACAGGAGGTGCCCCGGCATTGGCTCTTACACAAATATTCCCTGAGCCCCCAGCAGGCCTGAATCAAGGTCTAGATCAGAGGTGGGAAATGTCTGGCCTACGGGCCATATAAGGCCCGTGAAATCATTTGGTCTGGCCATGCCAAGACAACCAAGGTGGCACTCAAAATTCAATAAATCTAAGAGCATTTTTCATAGCAACATAAATTTATATTAAGTGCATTATATTAAGTGAAGCCTATATAATAAAAGGCTAATATGCAAATCGACCGAATGGCAGAACAACCAGCCATTATGATGCGCACTGACCACCAGGGGGCAGACACTCAATGCAGGAGCTGCCCCCTGGTGGACAGTGCACTCCCACAGGGGGACCGCCGCTCAGCCAGAAGCCAGGCTCATGGCTGGCAAGCGCAGCGGCAGTGGTGGGAGCCTCTCCCACCTCCACGGCAGCACTAAGGATGTCTTAATGACGCAGGGAACGGGCCTAAGCCATCAGTCAGACATCCCCCGAGGGCTCCTGGACTGCGAGAGGGTGCAAGCTGGGCTGAGGGACCCCCCCGCCCCGAGTGCACAACTTTCATGCACCAGGCCTCTAGTGATATAAATATCCAAATGGCCGTTGGCAGAAAAAAGGCTCCCCACCCATTCTAGATTTTGTGAATGAAACCGAGGTGAACCTGTCACAGATCCCACAGACTGTGTATATAACCTTGGCCAAGCTACATAACTGTGCCTCAATTTCCTCATATGTAAAACGGGGATAATAATAATAATCCCTCCCTCAAAGCACTTTTGTGAGGGCTACAAAAGTTCCTGGCAATAAATGTGTGCTATTAAGCTTATCATTACATTAATATGACTATACTAGAGGCTCAGTGCACAAAATTTGTGCACGGGTAGAGTCCCTAGCTGGCCAGTGATCAGGGACAATCGAGGCCTTCTGGCTGCCAGCCAGGGCCTCCCTTCCCCAGCTTTGGGCTAATAGCCAGGGCCTTCCTTTGTTCTGTGCCACCCCCTGGTGGTCAGCACACATCATAGTGAGTGATCAACTCCTGGTCTCCTAGTCAAACTCCCGAGGGGACAATTTGCATATTAGGCTTTTATATATATAGATCCTCAAGGAGTTGGAAACCTGAGAACCTACACTAGGGGAACCCAGGTGGAAGGAAGGGAAGGCCTGGCCTGGGTTCCCCTGGTACATGCAGCCTTCCCGTATTTCCCCACTGAATGCACTATTCCTGGGCAGATGAATGCCGAGGCCCATGTCCGAAAGCTGGAAGATAGCTTAGCAGAAGCCAACGCCAAAGTGGCTGAGCTGGAGAGAAACCAGGCAGAAATTAATGCCATCAGGACACGCCTCCAAGGTGAGCTCACTCCTCCCTGCAGCTTCCTAAAAAACAGTACATGGAACAGAAGAGGGATTTGCAAGGAAACTGAAAGAGTACCTAAGTCCTCTCCTCAGAGCTTTCTTGGTTTTGGAAAATTCGCATCCCCTGTGATGAGACAAGGAGATTTTACTTTACCCTCGGAATGTTCCAAGTCACATTTTTATAGTGTAAAATGGAGAACACTATTCAAAGTATTTTCATATCAGTTCTCTCACCCTGTGAGATCAGCAGGAGGGGCAGCCATATGGACACTTTTTAAACATTTTAAAACACGACCTACATACTAACATAAAGTGAACATGTGTCACTAATCAGGGAACCAGAAAAATGGTAAAGCTGCCTTTGAAGAACATGAGGGGCGAGATTTACATAATCAGTGGGAAAAGGAATGCTCAAGGAACTCTGCTAAGTTAGATGCAAAACTGGTTAATGTCCTAAAGGACAATAATACTGCAACCTCTGAGTTTGGTTTTGGTTTTTCTTATTTTCTTTTTTAAGATTTTTAAAGCTAATTTTTAGACAGAGAGGAAAGGAGAGGAGAGAAACATTGATGTAGAAGTGCTACATCAACCAGCTGCCTCCTGCACACCCCCTACCAGGGATCAAGCCCACAATCCATCAAGTGCCCTGACCAGGAATGAACAGACAACTGTTAAGTGCACAGGACAACGCTCAACCAATTAAGCCACACCGGCCAGGGCTGTTTTTGTTTTTCTATCAGAAGAAATCCTTAGCATCTCTAAGACTTTAATAACTTGGAACTTATTACTGTCCAATTTAACACCTAACTTTGCCAAGGCTGGGCTCTAACCGGAGCAAACAGTAAGTCAAACAAAGGTGCATTCCTTGAGAGAAGTTAACACTCGTTGGGTTAGACAAGCTCGTGTGACACCAGAGAACCTGCAGATATCCTTTGACCTTATTTCCCACATCCTGTAATACTTTTTAAACTCAATATCCCCATTTGACAGATGAAAAAAGTGAAGCTCAGCGAGGTGAAGTGACAAAACTAATGACTTACAGAGCAGAACCAGGAGCCTGGTCTTCCTCTCTGATTCATGCATCTCTTTCTGTCCTCTGGCCCAGCAATCAGTCCACAAGTGACAGGAATGTAGTAGGTTCTGGGACCGTGACAAATACAGTTTACAAAGTAAACACCCTGCCCCACTGTCTTCTCCGAACTCCTTTGCTGTATCTCCTGCCAAGGGTCAGGGCTTTGTTATCTGAATAAAGCCCTTTGCCCCATGCAAGTCACTTGGATGCTGGCAGCTCTTG